ATTCCTTCTCTCTTCGAGTAAAGCCAACTTAGGACTTTTACCAAATTTACGAAAATAGAACCTACAGAATTTAATTTGAATACGTTGCAACATAACAGACTGTGCAGTTGAAATTGAATTAAAAATAATAGTACAAAACTCAAGATTAGATCTAACTAAAGATTGACCTTTTTACTTGTAAAAATATTCTTTTGGTCCATGAATTTATTTCTTAGCTATAGCTATCCTATGGTTGATGTCTGTGTCCCTTATACAATCACTTGTAACAATGCTACCTAAGTATTCAAATCTATCCATCAACAATTTGTCGCTCACATCACGAACTAACACAATCAAAGTAGATTGTGTTAGTTTGTGAAATCACAGTAGCGCGTCAAAACGAGCGCGTATTGGTTGTCAAGCAATTTTGTATTCTTTACCACACAAAAAGTCCTTAACAACAACAGCGCGTATTTTGACGTGCTTTTTTGATTTCACGAACTAACACAATCTACTTTGATTGTGTTAGTTCGTGATGTGAGCGGCGAATTATTCAACAATCAGGAACATTTTGTTTAGTACTAAACACTATGACTTTAGTCTTTCTTTAATAAATATACAACCTTCTTCATTCACTTTCAAACTTTAAATTGTCTAAAAGTTCTTGCAAGTCACTTTCACTGTCAGAAATTAGTATGCTACTGTATCATCAGGGTATCTTAAATTAGAAACGGATTTATCATTAATCTTAAAATCTTTGGGCCATACAAAGCCATAGAACTCTCCCTTTGAACACTACCAGGGATTTTTATTTCGGGACCATGACTGATGCTCTAGTCGGCCCCTTTTTTGGGCCCTCACCCCGTAGGACTTGTCGGGCCCTATCAGCAAATTTCTGAAGCTACCACTGGAGGGGATTATACAACTAACCTTGAGTAATTCTTACAATTTTGCTGTGGATATGTGCGCTTTATAAATCTTATTATTTATTTCACACTTAACAATAAAATAGAGACATATCAAATAACTTACAGTACCAAATGTATTTATATTCTTATTAAAAAATAAGTCCACAAATAATCACCTGTTTTTTGTGTTCTGTTGCTGTATTCAAATCTCCAAGTTTCAAACTGTTAGTAACATGTTGCCAGAGCTTTCGTGATTCATACGGTGCTTGTACTTCTAGAGGGCGCACACTCTTTGGCGTTGGTGAAAGTCGTGTTGTATCTATTTGTTTCTTCTCACCCTATAAAGAGAGAACTCCAATTAATCAACAACATAAATTAGGTGCACTTTAAAATATGGCATATTATGTGAAATATGTCAGTAAAAAAATCTTATGTACTTGACAACAAAGAAAAAGAAAATAAAAGAAATTTGAATATCATTAAGCACTAGAATACCCTAATGTAGCTATAAAGCCATTAGAAAAAACATTGGTATCAGTTGTTATGTTACCGTAGCATATGTAAATTCTAGAAGACCGTTCCACTCGCCAGAAGCCTTGCAGACAACGACACCAGAATTATTCTTAACCTCAGCTGTCACTCGATGTACTTTACCTCCATAAAATGGCTGCAAACAAATTTGAATGCGTGCTTAATTAGCATCCATTATAAAATTTTGCAAAAAATCAAAAGGTAATTTTGCATTCTTGAATACAAGTTAAATTTAGCTTTGTATGAATGTGAACAGCCACTTTTAATGATGAAACTACTGCTGCAACCTACCTTGGTGAGAAATGTAACAGATGCATGAAACCCAGTTTGTTGACAATGTATGTTGACCTTTCCTCCCAACTCCATCCACGGAACTGTTAAAATTGACCTCCC